CCAATCCTTTTAACATCTTTTACATTCTTCTTTTCTTCTTCTTTTTTTAATAATTATGAGACATAGTAGCATTAACAAACAAAATTTCCATTGCTTGTGAAACTTCTTTTCCTGGGGATGCTAAACAATCCTTTTTCCCTTTTAAGGTTCTAGTGTCAAGCCAATGTACGATTAAAGTTTTACTGGGGGACCAATGAATTTACTGAGTTTACTTACGAAGATAACTGAGGGTTTGCTGAGGTGTATGTATGACCTGAGGGTATGGACACTGGAAAGCCTTTACTCAGTATGGGTCATGCCTTCTCTTCCTAGCCTTCCCCAGATTATATACTTTAGCCTTCCCCAAATCCGAAAGGCCGTGTGTGATTAGGGTCAAATTACATTCAGTTGCCAGGGAAAAGTGGCTGTATAATGCTTAATGAATGAGCACAACCGTCAACAAGCCCAATTGTGACGATGTTTAGTGATCAGGCACAGCTAAAGTCGTGATGATGGTAGTTATTTCATGCAGAAGCGACTGCTGTACAGACAATTATTTCTCATTGTTGATCTTGTTCCTAATCAGAAAGTGCTACTCAGATTAAGACTTCAAATCTTGGTCTGCAATACTGTAGTACCCACCTGTAGCTAATGGAGACAACCTGCTATTGTTCTAAAATATTGGATAAATTTGTTTTCTCCCCCTATCTAGAAGCCTTTGAGAGGGAACTGACACTGATTCTAACCACTCCAACAGCTATCTAAATACCTGAAAGCAAATCCTGAATCCATCACTCTAGCCTTGGCAGACAAAAGAAAAATGAGGAGGAACCCAATAGCAGGATACTTTTGGAAGCCCCTGTCAAGAAATTCCAATGGACTCTAATATGAACATTTAAAAATTGCCCTATTCTGATTTCTTTCTAGTTTCCTGTCTAGAACTTGTAATGCTATGTGCTGGATAGCTTTAGTGCCAACTTGACACACCTGGGTTGAGGGAGCCTCAATTGGGGAATTGCCTCTATTGGACTGGCCTGTGGCCCTATCTGTGGGGCATCTTCTTGATGAGTGATGTGGGACAGCCCGGCCCACGGTGAGTGGTGCCATGCCCAGGCAGGTGGGTCTGTGTTGCATAAGACAGCAGGCTGAGCAGGGGCCCGGGAGCAAGCCAGTAAGCAGCATTCCTCCATGGCCTGTGATCTAGCTCCTGCCTACCGGTTCCTGCCCTGAGTTCCTACCTTGGGCTCCCTGATGAACTGTGACCTGGAATATGTAAGCTAAATAAACCCTTTCCTCTCCAAGTTGGTATTGGCCAGAGTGTTTTGTCAGAGAAATGGAGAAACAAACTAGGACATGCTAATTACTCTTGCCTTTACTTCTCCTTCACATCTCCTACTCACCAGTCAAGGATTTTCTTTTCCCCCTACAGATAAGAGTTATGCAATTTGGGAGTCTTTTAGATAGACCCACCGAAGGGGTACTCCAATTGCCTCACCCTGCGTCCTTGTTCAGCATGGAAGAAGCCAGAACAGTCTGTGTCCAGATTCCCTATCTGCAAGTTGGGTAACCTCTTCAGGGGATGGTGTGATAAGAATAGGAGGTAGGAATTGGCTAGGCAGTTAGGTAAAAAAGACCCCAAAGAAAAGTAGCCAGTTTCTTGGCTAAAATCAAAATGTCCTCGGGCCTCTTAGCAACATACTCTGTTCCAAAGGCCAAAAATGTCAAAAGTATTTGGGGTCTTTTATCTAATCCTTAAAAGATTTTATGGTTACCTCTTCACAGGGGGGAATGTTAGAGTAGCCAAAAGCCCCAGAAAAAATAAAATAGAAGAAAGAGTACATGAAAAAAAGAAAGATGATCTTATCAGAAAATAAGTATTCTCAAGATATACGAACCAATAGATCAACTTCTCTTTTCCAACAGAATCTTTACAAAATTGTAGATAAGACTATGAGTCCTAGATCTAGCTTGTTATTATCTTTCAGAGTGATTATATAATGAATTAATACATGTAAATAATTCAGTGTAGAGCTTGTTCCATAATATATGTGAAAATATCTGCTTTTAATGCCAGGCGTGGTGGCACATGCCTTTAATCCCAGCACTCGGGAGGCAGAGGCAGGCAGATCTCTGTGAGTTCAAGGCTAGCCTGGTCTACATAGTGAGTTCCAGGACAGCTGGGGCTATAGGGAGACCCTGCCTCAAAAAGACCAAAAAATGAAATAAAATAATAAAATAAAATATCTGCTTTTACTAAGGAAAAAAAAAAACTCTTGAATGTTCATTGCAGCACTATTCACAATGGCACAAAAGAATAACAAAGCATTTGCTGATGACTAGGGAGTTAAATGCACTATATCCATACAATAAAATATTACTTGGCAATAAAAAAAACTTAGTTTTAAGACAAGGTAGTACCACAAACCACTCATGCAAAAATAAAAATAGCTATGAAAATGAAAAACGCTTTCAATATTTAACCATATGAACAGGGAAAACGCTTGGTTCGTATTTGTTGGCTGGAAAGAAGTATAAAAAAGAAACAGGACAGTGCTCTATATGTGCGTGTTTATTCAACTGGTGGACAAAGACATGAAAGACAGGTGCAAAAATACACTCTCTTTGCAACCCAGAACTCATTGATCAGTATGAGCTTTGATTCATACAAGAAGGAATATGACAAGACAGCTCAAAGTTGGTGAGAGAAAAGATGATGTAGGAATGAGGCATTCCCTGGGCAACTGGCCTTGGGGCAGTCAAGCTGACTCCCAAAAGACTGAATGCATGCGATGGACCATGTGAGGAACCTTACCACACAAGATATTTACCTGACCATAGGTGCTTCTATATTGATCTCTAAATTATGAACTCAGGACTTGGCCAGTAAGAGGGAAAATAACTGGGAAGCCAAGATGGCAGTGCCATGCTGGCCTGGGACACCCAAACACACCAGCAAGGTTGGGGCCAGCCTGGCCACCCACACACCAGTAAAACCAGACCGGCCTGGCAGCCCACGCAACAGCGCATACTGGCAGGGCACAGTTTCACCAGCATGGCTGTCCATGAGTACTGGTGGCACCCACGGTCGGTGAACCATCATCATCACCCAGTGGCTGTCAAGATCTTGCTGCAGTCCTCAACAGCATTAGGAATCTGAGAAGTCTACAGACTTCAGAAAATAAACTAGAGGACACTGGTGTAAAATTGTCTGTGAAGCTGTAAAACTTCCCAACTACCACCCAGAGAATCTTGGATTGCAGGCCTGTGAACTACATAACTATATATACTTGAAAAACAATACTTGGTTCATATTTGTTAGTTGGTTGGGAAAAAGTAAAAGTATAAAAGAACATGACAGTGCATCACGTGTGTGTTCATTCAACTGGCAGACAAAGACATGAAAAGACATGAATCTTGGACTGGAGACCTGTGAGGAACTAGCTACTTTTTTACCCACAGTAAAACCCTGTGAGGAATCAGCCTGCTAGAGAAGGACTTGGTCTAGAGTGCAGTTATTGTACTGAATGAGGCCTGGAAACAGCCAAAGTGTAGCCTGCATGCAAGGGCTGTGAACAACCAACTTTGATGAGGAAGACCAAGCGTTTCTGACCACTGAGAAAAAGAGAAATCCCTACATGACATTCCTAATCATTATGTTAGAGAAACAGAAATTAAGTGTAGAAATCCCATTCCAAGAAACCTGAGTGTATTCTGACCCAAAACCTTATACAAAGGGAAGGGAGTGGGCCCTTACTTCAGCACACCTCTGTGTAAGAATTACAGATCACTGACATCCTAATGAAATATGATTTCTCTGGCACCCAGCTCAAAGGTGTTATTTAAGATGGATGGGGTATTTCAGTTGCTAATAGAAGACATGAAGTTGGGGGTGAGGGGTTGGGGGTGGTAGGGTGAGAGTGGAGATGGGGGAGGACCTCTGAATAAAATTAAAATTCACTGTATGCAATTCTTGAATCAATAAAATTTCTCTTAAACTTAAAAAAAAAAAACATGATAAACAGAACTAGGCATAGTGGCACATGCCTTTAATCCCAGAACTTGGAGGCAGAAGTAAGCAGACCTCTGTGACTTTTGAGATCAACCTGGTCTACATAGACTTCTAGACCATCCAAGGCTACATACTAAGACCCTATCTCAAAAGAAACAAAAATATGATAAAGTTTGCTAAGGCTGGAAATGACAACTGTGACTATATCTTTCAAGTATGTCAATTTTATAAAAACACTGCTATAAGGATAATGAGGCTAATTGTTCTACTAGACACAAAAATGTGTTTAAAAGGTTCTTTGAGACACCGGGCGTGATGGCGCACACCTTTAATCCCAGCACTCCGGAGGCAGAAGCAGGCAGATCTCTGTGAGTTCAAGGCAAGCCTGGTCTACATAGTGAGTTCCAGGACAGCTGGGGCTACAGGGAGACCCTGTCTCAAAAAGACCAAAAAAAAAAAGGTTCTTTGAGATGGGCGTGCTGGCACACCCCTTTAATCTAAGCACTTGGGAGGCAGATGCAGGCAGATCTCTGTGAGTTCAAGGCAAGCCTGGTCTACATAGTGAGTTCCAGGCCAGCTGGGGCTACAGGGAGACCCTGTCTCAAAGACAAAACAAAAGAAAACAAAACATAAAAAAAAAACATTCTGAACAGAAAATCTGAACATCAAGAGTCAGAAGGAACAAAAGAAACCAGTCAAGAAAAGATAAATTGCATCAAAAACAATCTAATCATGAACAGTCCTCATGTGAAACCCAGTGGAAAGAGCTTACTCAGAATGTTGGAGGTGATGATAGATCTGAACCCCTGTTAAACCAGAAATCACTGACAAGTCAGGCCTTAAAAAGAAGATAGGGGCTGGGTGTGGTGGCTCATACCTTCAATTCATGTGAGATCAAGGCCAGCCTAGTCCACATAGTGAGTTCCAGGCCAGCTGGGGCTACAGGGAGACCTTATCTCAAGAACATCCCCCCCCCAAAAAAGGGGACCAGGAGTGGATGTTGAAAAAGTTGAACCCAGCAACCAGCTAGCTACCTGAGAACTCAATATGAAAATTTCCAGCAATAACCTGCCACCAGTTTGTGAAAGCTAAGGGAGAGGCTGAAAGAAGAAATCACCATTGGGAGTCAAAGCAGAGACTGAAAAGCAAAAGCCAGCCAGGCATGGTGTCGCACGCCTTTGATCCCAGCATTCTGGGAGGCAGAGGCAGGCTGATCTCTGAGAGTTCAAGGCCAGCGTGGTCTACATAGGGAGTTCCAGGCCAGCTGGAACTACAGGGAGACCCTGTCTCAAAAAAGGCAAAGAAGAAAAAAATAAAAAAAGCAAAAGCCACATGGGGGCGTATATCCTTGCAGAGTCCTGAAGACATCTGGACCCTGGTGGGCTTACTTTATCAAAAAGACTTCATTGCTTAGGTTAACTATGGTCAGGAAATTAATAAAGATAGAAAAAAGGCATAAAACTTGGAATTTAGATAAAAAGGAAACAACTCTTTTCAGTCTTTTTCTAATTAGTTAATTCCACAGAAGTGAAGAAAATGAACATTTTACTACTTGTGTAAGCAAATTTTTCTTTTGTTTTTGGTCTTTTTGAGACAGGGTCTCCCTGTTGCCCCAGCTGGCCTCGAACTCAGAGATCTGCCTCTACCACGCCCAGTTCTTGTGTAAGAAACATCAAGCTCACATACAGGAAAAAGGGGAAGAATTTTATTATTTATATAGACCTACAGAATAAAATCAATTTTGTTTTTCATCTCTTTGGTATATCATAAACCTGGGAGGACCTTTGCATTTTCTTTTCTGTTCTTAGCATGACTACACTTTTTCTAGGGGTGTATGTGAGGGAGATATGTATGTACGTTTCATCTGGGTGTATTACATATGAACACAGATGATTGGAGGCCAGAGGTCAATGTCAGATATCTTCCTCAATTTCTCTGCATCTGATTTTTTGAGACAGGGTCTCTCACTGGACCTGGAGATCAACCATTTAGCTAGGCAGACTGTGTGGCAAATGAGCTCCAGGGATATGCCTATTTCTGACCCATAATACTGGGGTTACAACGATGCACTGCCTGGCTTTCATGTGCACAGCAAGCACTTCACCAGCTGAGCCATCTCCTTAGCCCGGGAAATTGTGCAATTTTTTTATTTAATATTTTTATTTTACATGTATGAATGTATTGCCTGCATGTGTGTAAGTGCACCCATGTCGTGCATTCCCACATAGGTCAGAAAAGGGTGTCTGATGTCCTGGAACTGAAGTTATGAATGGTTGTTAGCTGCCATGTGGGTGCTAGGGATCAAACACAGGTCCTCTGCAAGAGCAGCCACTGCTCTTAACTGCTGAGCCATCTCTCCAGACCTAAAATTGCATAAATTTTAAGGTTAGATTTTGTGGGGTAGGGATGTGGCTCAGTTCGTAGAGCATTCATGAAGCCCTAGGTTTGATTATTAGCACTGCATTAACCAATTGGGTATGGTGGAGTATGCTTTTAATTCCAGCATGAGGACTGAAGTTCAAGGTCATCCTTGACTACATAGGGAGTTTGGGGCCAGCCTGCCAAAAGAAAAGGAAGGAAGGGGGTAAGGGAGGGAGGGGAAGGGAGGGGAAGGGAGGAGAAGGGAAAGAAGGGAAAGAAAGGAAAAAAAGGAAAAGGAAAAATTAACTTTTATTTATAATGGATTTAGTCATAAACAAAAATTCTTCATTGTAACTTTTTTAAATTTTTATTTATTATTTTTATTTTATGTGTATGCATGTATTGCCTGCATGTAGGTAAGTGCACCCATGTCATGCAATGCCTGCAGAGGACAGAAGAGGCTGTTGGATCCCCTAGAACTGGAGTTACGGACAGTTGTTAGCTGCCATGTAGGTGCTGGGATTCAAACCTAGGTCTTTTGCAAGAACAGCCAGTATTCTAAACTGCTGAGCCATCTCTCCAGCCCCATTGTAACTTTTTTTAGATTTCTCCAAACATCATTAATAAATGTCCTAACAGAAGTCATTAATTTTCTTTAAAATTTTTTGAGTTTTTGTACATTTCATAAAATAGTTCTTAAGTTTAGAGCCCCCCCCCACTTCCCACATTCATGCCCCCCTCCAAATACACACACCCCTGCCAGTGGACTTCATGCATTCAGCCATAAATGTTAAGTCACATTCAGTCAAGCATTTCTCAGATGTCCCTTAGTGTAAATTCATCCACTGGAGTCTAGTCAGCCTATCTAGAGATTTCATAAGTAAAGTCTACTCTCTCTCACCAAGTAGTAATCAGTTTCCAATAGTTCTCAGGCTAGGGCCTCCCAAGGCCCATTTCCTGCGCTCCACTCTGGGCCCTTATCTGATTGAGTTGGCAAGGGTCTTGTGCTCAACGCTATCATTGTCACAAGTTCTAGTGCATCCCTCAGCTCTCACCAGTGAAGCTTCCTTAAACAACAGAGTGTGATGCACACAGAAGGCCACCACTGGCCAAGTTTTAGAGAACAAGAGACTGCAGAGTGTGTGTCTCTGGATAGGACTGCTATATTAAACCTCACCTACTCACAGCTCAGGGACCTCTGCAGAAGAGGGAGCAGAAAGACTGTTATTGACTTTTAAAAAATCACAAGTGTTCTCTTCATCCCTTGTTCCATGTTCCAGCAGTCTTGGGTATATAAGCTGCATCTTAT